TTGATACTTTCACGCACACGTTTAACTATGGCGAAGAAAACGCGTGCGCGCACTACCCGGCTTCCTCTATAATCATGCAATGGCATTTGTTCTATTCACGGCACCTATGAACTAAGCGAATCATGGCACGTGCTTTACATCACATTTTTTAAACAAGTTTCGATCAATTTTTAATTTGAATTATATTATTTTTAAAATTAAAATAAAAATCATTAACTTACCATTTTAAACATTTAACATATGTTTACTAACCTATTTAAATATCAGTTATTCATTAAATAGTTTTAAATATTATATAACACAAAAATCAGTAGAATATGTCAATGAATAAATTCATTTTAGATTAAATATTTATATTATTATATTTTTATTTGTATACTGTTAACAAACGCATAGAAAGGAATATAGTTCTTGATTGATTAATTAAAATATTTTTAGTCATAAGAATTGTGACAAAAATAAACAAGGAATCTACATAGGAAAGACATATTTAAGTTTGGATTATTGAATATAAATATTCGTAATTCAAATAGATATTTATTCAAAAACCAGTGTATTTCGTGGCAAAACATATAACGTCAATTATTGACGCAATGCTCATGACGTATTCTCACTCATTCAGTCGCACTCATACGAATTCCTCCCTCTCTCTGTGATTTATACTCTTTACTAGCTATATGTATATATATATTTTTCTTTATGTTTGCTTATACAATATTTAATATTTTTTTTCTATTTATCAATCATTTTTGTTTCATCTTATACGTATACACATATAATACCATTAAATTGTTGTTAACGCATACAAAATAAATGCATGGTAATGAAGTTCCAATCTAAAATAGTATGCGACATACAAATATATGCATAAACTTATTTCACATTATAATTTGTGATGAAATAACTGTATATAATAATATTTTTTTTTAAAATTAATAATTGCTAACTGACAAATAAAAAATGAATAAATAAACAAATGTATATAATTGAACTTTTTAATTTCTATTAAATTGTATTTTATAATATTATAGTATTATATTCCAAAAGTATATTTATAAATACAATTAAAAAACTATTTCTTGCAAAAATGATTTATATCTCCATTTATATATCTCTCATGCATTATATATTCATTTTACGAGAAATCTTCACTACCATGCATTTTCATTACTATGAAACAATTCAATGATGCTATGATGTGTAAAATGTATTATTGTAACATTAGAACTATCGATAGTCTAATTACATATACAGTATGTGATATGGGCGTTTAGCCACTGTTATACGGTACGTAATTTCCCACGTACCCAAGAGTTTGTTTTTATGAACGAGCAAATAACACGAGTTTCCACTCATAATTGATAAAAGAAATCACATAAAAAATTTCTAGAGCACACGTATCGATTTATCGTTAAAATCAATATCATGTTCATTCCATTAACGTTAAACTGTTTCTAGAAAAATATTTATCGACCTTCGAGCGGACGAAAATTTGCAAATCGAACTATTTTCTCATCTCTTATGAAGAGAAAGAGAATCTTGATAATTTCTCGTTACTAGTAAAGACAAACTCGTATGATTGGCTCTAAAACAAATTGGCAACCTTTCAGTCGCCCTCGACTTCGTCGCGTGTCACTTGTGAGACTCGCACGACCGTCCTGGGAAACGGAAGCGCCACTCACTTCCCTTCTCATCCAAACGATTCCCTTCTTTTTTATAAAATGATCTTAAGTATGTGTACATGAGAGAGAACAAGAGCACGTGATTTGTGGAAATCGTTCCGAGAAGCATTCCGACATATCCATTAATTCATGTGATATTATCAATTATGAAAGTCAGTAGAAAATCATGAATAATGGAAAGATGTTCATATTAGAAGTAACAATTTTCTTTTATCATATGAAACAAAAAATCTTGTGAAAGTTATAGCAATATAAAATATATTATTAATCATTTAATGTGATTTTCGAAATAATTATGGATAAAAATGTTTTCGTTAGATATATGTCACGCCCTATGCCATGCCAACATTTAATGCAAATCTACGTTTTATAAGTAATTGATTTAATCTTAATAGTTAATAATAATTAGAGGGACACTAGTAGGTCCGAAAAGCCTCTTTTATACTGTAACGTACGTATATATTAATTTTTAATTTGTTTTCATTTTCATTTTAATGACTCTATATAGATATATGAATCATTTTACGCTATTTTCGGCTTAATTCATAAAGAGCCACGTCGATAAAAACAAAATACCGAAATCACGCTAAGCGCAAAAAAGTCTCTAATTGTTATTCAAGACTGAAATTACAATGGCGATATATCAGAAGTTTCCCAGGACGAATGATTTGATGACGAAAATTGACCAACATGCTTTTTTTTTAAATTTTTCTACAAGGTCATATCGAGTAAATATTTGTAAATAATCCCTATAATTTATTGTAAACATACACGATTAAAATATAAAATTTTCTCTTTAACATAGAAATAAAATAATGATTTTAAAGAAAAAACATAAAAAAATGTTGGTCATTTTTGTTTGTCATCAGTTCGCTTCATTCAACGGACGCTTCTAAAATACTGCCAAATTTTTTTATAAAATCGAGAATCCTCAATTCTATCTTATAATTGCACCAATAAAGCGTATCTATCTTCATCATATTTTTTTATTTCTAACAATTCATATTCTCATATAACGTCCCGTAAATTGTCAGTATATAAACTGAATTCAGTTGTATTATGCTACTTAAAAAATATTCATAGTTTTGCCCTGTAGCTTAATCAATAAAAAAAAAAAAAAAAAAAAAAAAAAAAAAAAAAAAAAAAAAAAAAAAAAAAAA